GGAAAACGTCGCTCACTTTCCAATTAGAGAATATGCTATTAACATTTATGGTGAGTTAGATGACTTTGACAGGTTTTTAGCTTACCGTTCTTTTCTGAGAAATCCATCCATGGAGATTGGGCGTCTCCTTCATGCTGGACCTTTAAAGAAGGAGGAACGCATGATTCTCCATCTAATTGTTTGGATCCTATGTCCTTGAGCTACAAATCATGCCCAATGTTCTTCCATTGATCTTCTTATTATTCATGTCATAATGAATAATGAGCCGTTAGATTGGGGCGTTCTTGTCACAATGACCATGTTAAAAGCAAAACGTCATCCCACATTCAAAATTCCATATGCTTTACTTGTCTCTCGTATTCTTGAATATAAAGGAGTGAATGTTGAAGGTGAACAAGTAGTTAGAACAAATAACTTGAACCGCATGCTGGACAACACATTGATTCAACTCCAAATGGTGCGAGTCAATGATAGTTATGTTCACAAAGATGACGTTCCTAATCAAGGTGATGCTAATGAAGATTCTGATGAAGATATGCCTCCAGCTGCTGAGTTTCCCTCTGACCAAATCCAAAGTGTTGGAACTTCCTCTACTCATCATGAAACCCGACAATCCATGGAAGACATGTTATCTGACATGAATCAGAGGATGCAATCATTCTTCACTCTTTCTAGAGTACGGCATGAGGAAATAATTCGCCGTATATCTGATGTAGATGATAAAGTGTGTCGTTTAGAAAATAGATTTGATGCACACTTTCATAGTGATGATAGTGAAGAATTTTAATTTTGTTGTTTATTTTCTCTTCTTGTGATGTAATGTATTGACATTTCTGAAATAAAATGTGATGTTTTGTTATTGCATTGATTGAGGGGGAGCTTTCTCTAAATTATGCATATTTTGAGGGGGAGCTCTTATGTTTGTAATGGATGAATTATTTTTTATTCTAATCAAAATAGGGGGAGAAAATATTTAAAGCCTAATTTGATTACTTTTAAATATTATCAGGTATGTTTAATGTGTTTGTTAGTATGACAGATAAAACAGGTTATTACAAGGCTTTAAAAGATAATTTTGATCATCATCAAAAAGGGGGAGATTGTTGAACATTCAAGGACTTGATGCTGCACTTGATAGACATGAAGATTGTTGATTTTGATGATGATTCAAGAACACAAAGACTTAGAGTGTTGAAGACTTGTTTTGTATTGTAATAACTCTATTTCAATTAGATTGAGTCTGTAATATTAGAGTTTAAGATAGCCAGTACATAGTCTTCACCTTAGAAGCTTCAAAAAGCTCAAATTTATCATCCAGGCTCGGCTTTAATCGATTAAATAGGGAAATAATCAATTAAAACAGTGAGAAAAATCATTTTCTGTAAAAACTCATCTGGTTTAATCGATTAAACCAACTTTTAATCGATTATCGAAGCGTTTAATCGATTAAACCACCTTTTAATCGATTAAAATAGAGAGGTTTGGGTTCTGTTGATATTTGGCTCTGTTTTAATCGATTAATACTTCTTTTAATCGATTATTTTAGTCAGATTTTGATTTTTAACTTCAAATCAAACCTATTTTCGAAAACCCTTTTCCCAAGAACCCTAATTCCGAATATCCCAATTCCCAAACCCTAATTTCTCTACTTAAACTCTTCTATGGCACTCAGAAAAGTAGAACAACCTTTTTCATAAAAAGGTTAAGTGTTGTGAGTGCCAGAGAACTGTTTGTTGCAAGAAAAAGGGGCTTTCTGAACCTGGTGTGGGCTAGAAGCGATAAGAATCACTAAGTGGAGTTCTTAGTGGATTGTGTGTTGTGCTGTCTCTGGGGAAAGCTGTTCTTCATCTCTTGTGGATTTCAAGAGAGGTGTTATCTTTACTTTATCTCTTCCATTGTAACTTGTTTGTAATAACTTTGTTTATAGTGATAGCGTTAATCCTCTGTTTGAGTGATAAGCAATTGGACGTAGGGTCTTTTGATACGAACCAGTATAAATTTCCTGTGTAAGACTCTATCCCTTTCTCTATTTACATTTACACAATTTTTAATCAGTAAAATTTGGGGAAAATTTTGAAAACCTAATTTTTATTAAGAAACCAATTCAACCCCCCCCCCTCTTGGTTTTTGTCCGACCACGCGAACATTCCGCTGCGCGATTCTAACATTGTGGGTGCCTAGAATTGTGGGCACTGGTTTCTGTGGCTGGAATTTGGCTGTAGGGTTGTTCAAGAACTGGAATTTGGTTCTTGGTGAAGGTTTAGGTGCAGGGACTGGAATTTTGGTTCTTGTGGTAGATTGAGTGTGAGATTAAAGTTGTAATCTGTAAAACGTTCAATCTAGTGGAACCCAGCTGGAATTTGGCTGGAAACTGGACGTAGCCCTGGGATTGGGTGAACCAGTATAAATCTTGGTTGTATCTTTCTAAACCTTTCTCTCCTTTAATTCTGTGACTACATTTATTTTGATTGCTTGCTGTGTGTGATTCAAGAACTGGTCAGGATTCTTAATCTTTGAAATAGATAATCTGTAAATCGCGAAAAACTTTCAAAGATCAATTCACCCCCCCCTCTTGATCTCAACCTACATTTCTAACAGTATTGTTTGATGTCGTGATACCAAGGGTGTTGATCATTCTTGCCATTTACTGTCATGCAGCTTGATTTGAATGGTTGGCATCTCATGCTCTTGATTTAAAGAGAACATAGATGATAGAGTAACGCGGGCGTCAGCAAATTGATTGTCCTCCCTAGGAACGTACTTGAAGGTGATGCTTTCCATTCTTGACACTAACTTGCAGATGTGCTCTGAAAGTGATGAAGATCTTATTGAAATACTATGACAAAGATCCTGTTGATTTGATGAACTCAAAGATAAAGTCAAAGTCAACTTTGTAGCGGTCAACAGTCACTTAGATAAAAGAGTTGAGGGATTAGTGTGTCCGCAGCTATGCTTAGGTATAATCATTTTTATCTTTTCTGCTGCATGAGGTTTCTTCACTTAAAAGATTTTGCAAAATGCCTCTAAAATCGTTTAAGCAGTTAAAAACAAAGTATTGTAACAAAAGCTTTCTTAAACAAGTTTTTAACTGATATAATTTCGAAATAACCGGTTTTTTTCATTAAAGAAAGTTTTTGAAAACCTTATGTCAGTGTTTTAACTGATAAAGCTTCGACATAACCGATTAAAATCACTTAAAATGTTAAGAGGAGTGTTTTTTCAGTATTTTAATCGATACAACTTGGATTTAATTGATTAAATCCACTTAACATTTAGGATGATCGATCAGAATGCAATTATGACCAATCAGAATCAGATATGATCGATCAGAATTGAGTTATGACCGATCAGAATCAGATATGATCGATCAGAATTGAGTTATGATCGATCAGAGCTTTTTCAATCGATTAAAACATGTTTCAATTGATTAAAACAACTTAGAAAATTTCTACACAGTGTTTTAATCGATTAAAACTTATTTTTATCAGTTAAAATCACTTGGAAAATTTTACAATAAAGTTTTGCAGTATATTAATCGATTGAAACACAAAACAATCGATTAAATCAAATTAGAAGATTTTTTGTAAAGAGTTTTAATTGATACAAACGTTGTCGTATCAGTTAAAACAAATCTGTTAAATAATCAAGAACGCTTTAATGGATTAAAAGAAGTTTTAACAGATTAAAACTACACTTTTAACAGATTAAAAGATTTTTTAATAGATTGATTAAACCAGCAGTTTTGAAAATCTTCTATAAAAACAATTTGGCTTGAACATTTTAAACACAACAATTGAACATCAATCTTTAGCAATCAAGCAAGCAAACTTTAGCGCTCTTTCAAGAAAGATTCGCGCCAGTTTTTGTGAAGTTCTTTGAAATTCTTTCTTGAGGCAAATTGCTTTCTTTTGAAGAAGAAACACACTGCAGAATTGCATAAAACTGGTTTGAGCATTCTAGTTTCTTCTTTTCAATTATTTACATTCTTTTTGTATTGTTTGGTGCCTGGAATTGTGGGCACTGGTTTCTCTGCAGCTGGAATTTGGTTGTAGAGGTTGTCAAGAACTGGAATTTGGTTCTTGGTGAAAGGTTAGGTGCAGGAACTGGAATTGTGGTTCTTGTGGTAGATTAAGTGTAAGATTGTAATCTGTAAAACATTTGATCTAGTGGAACCTAGCTGGAATTTGGCTGGAGACTGGACGTAGCCCTGGTATTGGGTGAACCAGTATAAACACTGGTGATATCTTTCTAAACCTTTCTCCTCTTTTAATTCTGTTGTTGTGTTTATTTTTGATTGCTTGCTTTGTGATTCAAGAACAGAGCTGAAATCTTATTTTTACAAATAGATAATCTGTTATTTGCGAAAAACTCTCAAAGATCAATTCACCCCCCCCCCTCTTGATCTAAAACTACTATTCTAACATGCTCTAGATATGGGATTAATTTAGAGTTTCAGGTTTCCCATCCACCTTTAAGTTGTTAGATGACAAGGGATGAATCGCCGAAGACTTTGAGCTTAGTAACCCCATGATTTAGATCTGCTTGGATTCCTAGTGCGCATGCTTCATATTCGGCCATGTTATTAGTACAGTCAAAATTCAACCTAGTCGTTACGAGGATATATTTCTTTTCAAGGGATATCAAAATGGCTCTTATCCCGTGTCCAAGCATGTTTGAGGCTCCATTGAAGAACATGGTTCATGCCTCTTCTTTGGTTTCTTCGTGTTCAATGTGCATGACATGTTCGTCGGGAAATTCATCTTGTAGGGACTGATACTCGTTCGTTGTTCCATGGGCTAGATAGTCTGCTAGGGGGCTACCTTTAATAGCTTTTTGGGTGACATGAACGATGTCGAACTCTGAGAGGAGCACTTCCCACCTAGCTATTCTTCCGGTCAGAATGGGCTTCTCGAAGAGGTACTTGAATGGGTCCATTTTGGAGACCAACCATGTCGTGTCTCGAGCCATGTATTGTCGGAGACGCTGAGTGACCCACACCAATGCGCAACAGGTTTTTTCAAATGGTGTATAACGGGTCTCATAATCTAGGAATTTTTTGCTGAGATAATAAATGGCTCACTCTTTTTTCCCAGTTTCGTCTTGTTGACCGAGCACACATCCCATGGACACTTCGAGTATTGACAAATATAGGATCAGAGGTCTTCCTTCAACGGGTGGTACCAATACTGGCGGATTGGTGGTACCAATACTGCCAGATTGGTTAAGCATGTTTTTATTTTATCGAGCGCTTGTTGGCATTCTTCATTCCACACCGTTGGTTGATTTTTGCGCAACAGTTTAAAGATGGGTATACATTTATCCGTCAACTGTGCAATGAAATGGGCAATATAGTTGATTCAGCCCAGAAATCCTCTAACTTCCTTTTTCGTGGTTGGTGGGGGCATTTCCAAAATTGCCTTGGTTTTGTCAGGGTCCACCTCGATTCCTCTTTTGTTGACGATGAACCCCAAGAGTTTTCCTGACCGTACTCCGAAAGTACATTTTGCGGGGTTTAGTTTGAGTTGATACTTTCGAAGCCGATCGAATAGCTTCTTGAGATATTGAATGTAGTCCATCTCGTTTCTGGATTTGACGATCATGTCATCCACGTATACTTCTATTTCCTTGTGGATCATGTCATGGAATAGTGTGACCATAGCCCTTTGATAGGTAGCCCCTGCATTCTTGAGTCTGAAAGGCATTACCCGATAGCAGAAGGTACCCCAAGGTGTGATGAAGGAGGTTTTTTCTCTGTCCTCGACGGCTAATTTAATTTGATTGTACCTCGCATACCCGTCCATGAAGGAATAAAGCGTGTTGGTAGCAGTATGGTCTACTAGTGTTGTTAGAATCGTGCAGCGGAATGTTTGCGTGGATGGACAAAAACAAAGAGGGGGGTGAATTGGTTTCTTAACAAAAATTAGGTTTTAAAAATTTTCCCCAAATTTTACCGATTAAAATACTGTGTAAACGTAAATAAGAAAAGGATAGAGTCTTACACAGGAGATTTATACTGGTTCGGATCAAAAGACCCTATGTCCAGTTGCTAATCACTCAAACAGAGGATTAACGCTGTCACTATAATCAAAGTTATACAAGCATATTAAAAATGAAAAAGATAAAGTAACGAAAACAACTCTCTTCAGTCTCACAAGAGATGAAGAACAACTTTCCCTAGAGACGGCACAACACACAATCCACTAAGAACTCCACTTAGTGATTCTTATCGCTTCTAGCCCACACCAGGTTCCAAAAGCCCCTTTTTCCTCCAACAAACAGTTTTGGCAATCACAGCTCTTAACTTTTATTTGAAAAAGGTTGTTCAATTTTCTGAGAGCCTTAGAGAACCTTAAGTAGATGAATTAGGGTTTAGGAATTGGGGATTTTCGGAACTTGGAGTATTGCGATTAGGGTTTTCGAAAATAGGTTTAATTTAAAGTTCAAAATCCAAATCTAACTGAAATAATCGATTAAATCAAGTGTTAATCGATTATTACAGAGCCAAAATCAACAAAACCCCAAAACGCACTGGTTTAATCGATTAATTGCCCTGTTAATCGATTAACATGCCTTTTAATCGATTAACAGGTGTGTTAATAAATTATTACAGTGAACAGATACAGAAAATGGTTTTTCTCACTGTAATAATCGATTATCTGGTGATTTAATCGATTAAGCCCAAGCCTTTTTGATAAATATGAGTTTTTGAAGCTTCTAAAGAGTAGATTATGTACCGACTATCTTAGACTCTAATATTACAGACTCGAACTCATCAAAACAGTTATTACACAACAATACAAGTCTTCAACTCTCTAAGTTCTTTGTTCTTGAATCATCATCAAAATTAACGAGCTTCATGTCCATGTAAGTTCAACATCAAGTCCTTGTATGTTCAACAATCTCCCCCTTTTTGATGATGATCAAAATTTTCTTTTAAAGCCTTGTAATAACCTGTTTTATCTGTCACACTAACAATCACATTAAACATACCAAATAATATTTAAATTCAATCATAAGAGGCTTTAAATATTTCTCCCCCTATTTTGATTATAATAAAAAATTTCTCCCCCTATATCAATCATAAGAGCTCCCCCTCAAAATATGCATAACTTGGAAATAACTCCCCCTCAAACAAAACAATAAAAGAATACAAATTTTATTTCATAAAGAAACGTCATTACAAACAAAGAGATATATGCAAAAACTGTTTAATTAAGCAGAATTTAAGTTATTTCTAACATCCCTAAATCTCTTCTAAGATCATAGAATCTATCCTTGGGAAGAGGTTTAGTAAAAATATTCGTTAATTGATGCTTTGTATCAACATACTCAATTTTACAGTTTCCTTTACTTATATGATCTCTCAAGAAGTGATGTTTAATTTCTATATGTTTGGTCCTAGAGTGCATTACTGGATTCTTAGTAAGAATGATTGCACTCGTATTATCACACATCAAAGGAATGTCATTTAGAAATATACTATAATCTTCTAGTTGTTGTTTCATCCACAAAATTTGAGCACAACAATTACCAGCTGCAATATATTCAACTTCAGTGGTGGATAAAGCAACACATGCCTGTTTCTTAGAATGCCAAGATACTAAAGATGATCCTAATAAGTGACATGCCCCACTAGTACTCTTTCTATCTATTTTACATCCACCATAATCAGCATCAGAATAACCTATTAAACTAGTACAAGCTTCAGATGGATACCATAAACCAAAACCAGTAGTTCCTTTTAAATATTTTAAAATACGTTTTACTGCAGTTAGGTGAGATTCTTTTGGACATGCCTAAAATCTAGCACACACACAGACATAATGCATAATATCAGGTCTACTTGTAGTTAAGTATAACAGTGAACCTATCATACCTCTATACATAGATTGATTAATTTCCAAACCTGATTCATCCTTGTCTAAATAGCATGAAGTTCCCATGGGTGTGTTAGCTTCCTTTGAAGTGTCCATTCCAAACTTTTTGAGTATCTCTTTGTAGTATTTGGTTTGAGAGACAAAAATGTCATCTTTAAGTTGCTTGATTTGAAGTCCAAGGAAGAATGTTAATCCTCCCATCATAGACATTTCAAACTCTCCTTGCATTATCTTAGCAAATTCTACACACAAAGAATTATCAGTTGATCCAAAAATAATATTGTAGACCCCTAATTTTGCCCGGCCTCTCAATAAAGGCTAAGGAGACTTCCTATAACAAGATAAAGCTTGCCCGACATCTCAATATAGGCCAAGAAGACTTCCTATATGAAGATAAAGCTTCAATGGACGTCTATCGTCATCAATCGACGTCCAAATAAAGAAAGGAAAGCTTCCCGGGGGTCCCAAAACACAAAATCTGGCAAAAATAGTCGAGATGGTCGTCCCAGAAGTTGGGACGGCCGTCCCAGAAGCCCAGACGGTCGTCCCAAGTTCCAGACATCCGTCCCAACTTGTTTTGAGGCTCGGTACGGCCGTCCCAAATCCCAGACAGCCGTCCCAACTTCCCCACACGGCCATCCCTGATTTCCAAGCTCCAGACGGCCATCCCAAGCTGCCAGGCTGCGAAAACTATAAATAGGAGGCTCATTTGCCACTTTTCCACACCCTAGACGCTTGTCTTCTCTCCCTACTTCGAATGAACTCTCCGATTGCCTTAAAAAGGTAACAATCGGTTAAGGAATTGTATTCCAGCATTCGATTCTTCTTTAAAATTTAGTAGAGTCGATATTGTATTCGGGGAGGAGAGTCTTTGTAGAGCGGGGGATTGCCAAAACGCATCCTCACAGTTCAAGATTTGTAATACAAAGCTTGCTATGGAGGTTATTTTCACTTCTCTTCTCTTTTATTGCTTTATGTATGCAATATGAAATAAAGTCATGTAAATAGTCATTTTTTTAATATTATGCAATAAAATAGGGTAATAACGTAATTTCTCGTAATCTTTGCTTAATGAATTAATCCGTCATAGGGAACGCGAAAGGGGCGTTGTAGGGTGCTAACACCTTCCCCACACGTAACTAACTCCCTTACCCAACTCTGGTTATAATGGCCAAGTTTGGTTTTTATTAAAATCAACGCCTTTTTTATCCTTTTCCAATGTTTACGGTCAAAACATTGGTGGCGACTCCATAAGAACCCCTTTTCGAAAACCTTGCTTTTATTAGAGGATAGTTCAGTTGTTGAGAACCTCGGAAGCAATGAACATATTTTAACATAAAACGCGAGTCTAAACCATCTTTTCGCGACCGCTCGCATAAACGTTCGAGATGTCCCTAGACGTCGGAACGGACGGCGCCGACAGATGGCGACTCCACTGGGGAAGCTAGAGAGTTGATCTCATTTAGTGACGGATAAATTCAAACTAAGTAAAGATTTGAAATTACGTCTTTACCCTCTTCCGTATGTTTTATTGTATGGCTTTAGTAATTGCTGTATGATTATTTTCTGCAAATTGTCTAAAATATAAACTGCACACAAAAACCCTTTCACACTATAGTCCCTTTATACCCGGGGGCAAGAGTGAATACCTATAGGGAGTGGGTGGCAGATACAACCGGCTTGTTGGCACACGGGGCTACAACCGTTGTCGGAAACCACCAACTCAAGGTGATAACTCTCTTCTTTTGGTCTAAGGATGTCGACACGGAGTTCCGTGCATGACCCGAGGACTGAGAGATTGAGAGGTCCCTATAATGGGGGCACCTTGGGGACCTTTGGCTTTGGTGAGAACAGTTTAGAACCACCTAAACCAAGCATGTTTCTGCAGGAAAACCCCACCTCGAAAATAGCATGGCTCTGCTCGTGGATGAATGAATGGTGTGTGCATTCGTTTGCTGCATTTGTATTGATGCATTAGCATAGGGTAATCATAGAACAAAAATAGTGAAAAACCCTAAAAATCATAAAAGTGATAAGATAAACCACTTTATCTCGGACAGTCTTCAGTTAAGCTAGCCTGGTTTCAGGTTCTTTGTAAGCTAAGTAGCCACGTTGACCGACAGAAGAGATAAAGGGTCATAAAAAAATATAAAAACAAATTAAAGCCATAATAATATCTTTTACAATAAAAGGATTTTCGACAGAGTCGTATCATTCATACCACATCATCCAATAAGTGGTCAAACCAAGAGAGAAAATAAATGCACTAAGAAAAGTATGCATAAACATCATCATAATAAAGTCTCTCATAAACACATTCATTCTAGGATGTATTAGATATCCTTAGA